AGACGACTTTACACAAGGTGAGACGACTTAACCCGACCACCTTGTATGACTGTTGCTGTTAAGGAACTTAAGCTATCACAATAATGATGGGCTCCTTAGAATGCTATCTTCAAGTCCCTTAACAGCAGCCAGTTGTTCAAGGGCCTTTGACAGCATCTAAGTATTTACGGTGTGTGTGCGCGTGTGCACTACCATAAATGTCTTCTGGGTGTCGGTGGTCGTTGTCGACACATGTTGACAGTAAGAACGCATGTCTCTTGGTATAACAGCACATGTCGTACAACTCGTTAGAAACCGCATATGCACGCCGCACGCGCCCTAGTTCTGCAGGAACTTGACTGCAGCAAAATCGCCACTTACTAGGCTGAGGGACTTCCGCGACAGCCAAGGCCGCCACCTAGCGTCATTCGACCAGCAGGTATGCCAATGACCAGCAGGAAGAGCACCACCAGAACTGGCGAGCCGCATTAGTACTGTCACTGAGGCTGCCAATAATCAACATTGTTCTTATTGCTTCTGCTACTGTTGGCGGCATATCTATGAAGCAAGAAAGGATGCAGAGGACTAGGAAGGCTTTATGTCAGAGCTCGCGGACTGCCTGCCATGCTGGACACACCTGGGAGCTTCTCGAAACTATGGCGGGCTTTTTATGGGGTCCCCCAGAATCAGGATCCACTAGCTCTGCAAACAATGAACCCATGTTTTTGAGAATTATCCACTTAAGCAGTGAGATTCGGTTCACTGACAGTGAAGGTCTTCGCCCTTCTGGCTTGGGGTAGAGATGCGGAGGATACCATAGCATCAGTCTGGTTCTTGTCCTGGCTGCGATATATCATAGCCTGAGGCAATGATACGCAGTAACAATTGAACCAAAAACAGATCATGAGGGTTATGCTCGAAGATAGCTAATTCCCAGGAATTCCTGGTGTGAGGGAACCTCTGGCTAACTATGTCTCTATGATCACTGGATACACTGCGACAGCATTGAACTCCACAACTTTCACGTGGTTCATGGATAGCCCAGGCGTTTGCGGCGCCATAGCTGCTGCAAGTTCAAGGAATGAAGGCCAAACCCAAAGGGACGGTGCTGATTATACTAGTTGTAAAATCCTTTTGTCATATGGTAGTTTCCAAAAAGAAGGGGACCCCGAAATGCCATCATCCTTGTTGCGGACCCAAAATGGTACACCTAACTTTGGGAAACCCTTGGGGGGAGGAAAGGAAGGAGAGGGAAGTGGCTCGGGGAGCTGCCGACCCCACCCACGCTCCAGCCTATGGAGAATGCCATCAGGCAGTTCCTCAGGATCGGGTAGGTGTCTCCGCCTGTCTCCTGCAAGCGTGGGTTGAGCTCATCGACACTAGGACTTGGGGATCCAATTTCAACAGCAAGGAGCCACTAAACCGCAAACCGCTAGAGTTCCAGGGGGCCAGGTTAAACAACAACTTGGGATGGATGTGGTAGATGCCATGGCTCCGTGCTGGAGTGTCGTGATGGTAAAGACTCAGACCTGGAGAAGGAAGCAAGCGACAGACGACGTTTCTTTGATACTCCGGGAACCAAAATCAACGAAGTCAGAACGCCACAGCAGCTTAAGTAGCTTCTAAACAATTTTCCCCAAAAGCTGCCACGTGCCGCAATACATGCAACCAAAAAGGCGTCCAAAAAACAATCTGCGAAAGTTGCAAAGTCTGGCTCCTCATCCATGCGGATGAAGATCATCAGTAGCACGCCTTAGCTGCCCAAGGTTGTTTCTCGAGCGTAAGATATTTCTCGAAAACACGCCAAGTTGGGTTGCACGTAAGTAGAGAGCTACAGGATGAACAAAATGCAGTCAGGGGATGGTAGAGTCCCTCAGGATAAACAGCAAAGAAACTGATCTGCATTTTGCAGCCCCCTCTTGCTACGGCTGGCTGCAAAAGATTCAAGTCCTGCTCGGGCAGCGAAATTATGGGAGTTTCTCAACACATTGGTGACTTGGGGATATTTACATGGGATCCTCCTCTACTTAATGGTTATTGGAATCTTGAGAAACTTCCGTCACCCGGCCTCCCCACTAAAGTACGCGCTTCAAAGAGGCAGGCATGAATTATTCCTTTGAAACATGCCTTTTCACAATGTTTCCGAACTGAAGCTGCGACAGCGATCTCTCAAACTCACACACCTACCCTAAACCCGTAACCCTACATATATATATATATACACCCTACTATACTATAGTCTCCATTCTCTTTTCCATTATCCCTATATAACCCCAATATAACTTGTAGCACTTCCACCTTAGCACAAGTGATCCAACCGAGGCGATGGCCTACAAGAATGATGTGGACGAGGAAGCAGAAGTTCAGCACGTAGGAGAGGAACTGACAGAGTGCTTGTGGCAAGAGTTACCCTAGGGATCCAAATAGCCCAATGGGGGTACCAACAACAATGGAGAATCAAATGGAATATCGAATGGAAAATGAAATGGAACTAGGAGTTTATAGGGATCCAAATAGCCCAATGTAGGTAATATTCACGGACTTTAGGCTCCATGTAGGTGTTATTTGTATACTTGGATCCCTAGGGTTAGGGTCAGCCATTGAGGCCGGGGCCTCTGAAATTTTGATCCTGACATGCTGTGCCTAGCTGTGGCTGGAGAAAGCATGACGTGCTTCTAGATTTTGGCAGTTTGCATGCCAAATCTGCCATCTGGGAGACCCAATGCATCACATAATTCCTGCGCATCAAAAGGCATGGAGAGTTGCTGAACACCTCATCCCCCTTGCAAAAATATTGGAGAAACAGGCACGGCAAAGGTATATGAGCTATAGCCTTATAAACTCCTTAAAGGGGTTATTTGGGGGATCATATAGGGGACTGCTGAAGGGGTTGTTACGGGGGATACCAGGAGATTGGTTCATATGTCACAGCCGAACAGCCTAAAATCAACCAAACAGGCTCTGAATCTTTAGCAAAGCCGTTTATCATTCAAGGAACCCTGGCAAACGACCCTATGCCTTTTTAAACCGAGGTCTGCGGGACACTCAATGTTGCAGGCTTGGGAACCCAGATGCCCCGGCCCTACCCCCTACACTCTTATGCGTTATATCTACTGATTAGGGGGTAAGTACTCCTTAGCTGTAACAGGTAAGGCAAGTAGGCCTGCGCTCGCTGCTGCGTCTTTCGCTGAAAGCGCGTCATCTCCTCCAGGGTCCTCGCATGGTTTAGGGTTCAGGGTCTGGAGTATGGTTTGAAGCCGGTAAGCTTTTTGAGTAGTTGTCATCTCAAAGACCGTTTACGAAGCAAAATTGCAACCTGCGGTATTTTTGCACATATCCATTGGCTATTTGCTCGAGGTGGACTTCGCTTCGCGGTATCTTCCAAAAACATGCAAGTTGACCTTGTTGGTCCCGTCACGCACGATGGGTTACATGAGCACACCTAGCAGCCGCACTTGTCTCACACAGAGTCGTGTCCCCACGTCCTTCCGCTTTAAGAAGAAGCAGCCAAGTTAAAATTACACGGCCCCACATAGGTATGAGACTAGGTCATTACTGTATCTCAGCCCCAGGGCTCCCAACCAGAAGCACCTAGCCCTACATTAATAGTAATAGTAATACTACTTAATCTAGTAATAGGAAGAAGAATGATACTTCTGATAACAGTAGTACTAATAATTCCGAAGAGACTTCTAAAGGAAGCATCGGCACGCTCTTCTGGAAAGCAATCAGCAGGCAAGTCTTTGCCAGGGCCTTGGCTCCAACCTTGACTCTCAAACCTTAGGGCTTAGGGTTTAGGGACCCAAACTGCCGTGTTCACGTCGCTCAGACTTTTGTGAATGAAGTGGGCATGTTAGCACCCTACCCGAGCCCCAAAACATTCCTTGTCTGCTCAAAGCTCTCACCTTCAACTTTTTCCCCAGACATGTTTGCTTCATGGGCCCTGGATGACCCCATACTTCGAGCTCCTGCAACCAAGGTCTGAACTTTGAGCCCAACCCGCCTGAAGAACATGACGAACTCGTGGATGTCAATCGTTCCGTTCATGTTCTGCCAGCAGTCAAAGCTTTGCGGCCAGTGATCGGTTCAACAATCCAGCCTCCCTCGCGGAATGTCTTGTGGTCTAGTTGTAAGAGAGCAGCACTACTCCAAGATTCCCCTATGTGAGGTGAAACAAACGGCGTTTCCAAGCCTGCTGTTCTTCAACGGACGTGCTTCAAGCTGGGCCAAAACTCTACACTTGAACTCGCTGCTTGCAAGCCCACACGTCAGCCTAACGACAGCAGATTTTGCAAAGCTAAGCTTCCCATGTGCTCAGGGAGCTCCGAGAGTCCAACTGGCTAGGGTTTAGGGGTTTAGGGGTTTAGGGGTTACGCGTGTAGGGTTTAGGTCTAGGGGTTAGGATTTAGGGGTTTAGGGGTTAGGGTGAGTCCACTGACAGGTAAACGAGGCCTTGTCAATCTCCTGCATGACGGTCGTTGCTGCGGCCTGCCCACAGCTGGCCGTGTTTGCATTCCACATTTTCCTACAAAAGATATATGTAATGTAGGGACCATCCATGCAGGGGGTATAGTACAATTATAGGGATTGCATAAACGGAGTACATTCCAATATTCCCTACTAACCCCCAGTAAGTTTATGGGGTCAGATCTGAAGCTTTTGCTGTTTTCAGGTGCACAGTCCCAGGCTTGGGTTTCAGCAGCTAAGCTGAGCAGAAGCTTTTGACTTACCTATGGTTTTGGGGGGTTGGGTTTCAAGGTTCAGGAGTTTGGGTTTAGGGTTTTAGGGTTCATCGGGTTGTGCATCAAACACGCAGCAACACCCCTACAGGTCTCTGAGAGTTCATTGATGGACCCATAAAGCAGCAAGAAATCTGACCGCGCATCTTCTGTAAAACCCATGTATGATAACAAGCTGACATACGTTGACGTGATAGAGCCTTTATCAGCAAAAACCAAGAAGACGATTTCCCACCGCTGCTTGCAGCTGGAACCCTTGAAGGCAATGGCCATTCTGTCCCAATTACAAGCGGTGAGCAGCGTCCATACTGTTGATGGACAAAATCCTGCATGACGCTTTGCACCTAAATATTGTAGCAGTGTATTTTTCAGGGCATGCAGGATTTTGCCATCAACCGTACCAGTCTGGAGTGGAGCAGTATGGAGCATTCAAAATCACAGCAAGAATGCCCTTGCTTCCTAGACCTCCACCTTCCGTCTATTAGGTGGTAAGTACCCGCTATTGGGGCCCATATATCCCCAATCAAGCGTACTCGCCGGGCCTTGGTTGAAAAGAAGCTATGAGCGTTTGTTGGGGCTGCTGTGCCTAGAACACCATACATGCCGAGGGGATCTTAACAATGGAGCACCACATGGAAAAGACATGGGAAATGAACTGTTTTTTGGGCCAAGATCTTTTTATGGGGCCATAAGTAGATTTGAGTTACCCCAACCGCTACACTACGGCCCCAATACAACGGACCCAATAGCTATCATATGACTATCAATAGGGCGGTCCTAATTAGGGGGTGAGTTGAGGGAATTTTCAAAAATCCTGTTGTAAATGCAGGCCTCGAGTGCCAGGGACTCTTGTGTTTCACTTTGCTTGGCCAAAAAGAAATGAAAGAAAAAGTTAGCCGTACTTTGCCCCTACAGCCGTACTCCGGACGGAGGTCATGGAACTCGGACCTGTAGCCCGGTCAGAACCCTAAACCCCTAGACCCTAAATCCCTGAAACCGCTACGAACAAGGACAAGCAAGGAAACCTAGGCGCAGCACTGGACCCTCCGGCACGTTATGAATGAAGCCCTGAAGCCCTGAGGCCCTGCAGACTAAACCGGTACAACGGTGGATATTAACCCCAACAATGGATAACCAAATGGAAAAGGACATGGAAAATGGGACGGACAGTGGGATGAAATAATCATAGTAATAGCTACAATAGTAATAAATCCTTCTCATGGGGACCCCAAATACAGAATAGGGACCCCGTAACCCCTTTGAAGGGACACCCCCACTTATGTATAACCCCTCTATAAACCATATAAAGTTCACCCCGTATATGGCATATATAGCCCCTTTGAAGGGAAACCCTGACCCTAGACCCTAAACCCTGAACCCTAAACCTTGAACCCTGAGCCTTGAACCCTAAACCCTTTGAAGGGACACCCCTATTTATGTAAAACTCCTCTATAAACCACATATAAGAATGTAAAGGATCCCTAACATTGATCCAGTTTTTATGTGTACCATTGTCTAAACTCCTAGTATCCCCCTTAATATCCCTTATAGTAGTCCCCGATAGAATCCCCTGTATAACCCCCTTTAAGGAGTTTAGACTATATAGCTCATGTATAGATAGCAGGCGAGACCTCACGTGCAAGGCTGGCCTGGCCTCTGAGGCATTGAGGCCACACAGCTTCAGCGCATCAACGAGTTCAACTGCAAGCCACAGGGATAGGTTTAGGGTTTACGGTTTAGGGCTTAAGTTTAAGGTTTCAAGTATAGGGCTTAGGGGTGAGGGCTTAAGTTTAGGGTTTAGGGTTCAGGGCTTAGGGTCTAGGAGGGGGCTTCGACTTTCAGAACACTGCCAAGGCCAAGCTGTTGGGCAATAGCGCATCATACAATTGACATTATTCAGGATTGAAGGTGGAAGAGACTTTGAAAAGCTACCAGTAGGGGCTCGAGTGCCTACAGTCAATCTCTACCCTCTACAAAGACCCTAAATATTCCCTTTAACTAAAACATAACCCTAAGAATCCGCAACATTAGTGAAAATAGTTCAGATTCCGGGGTCGCGCATCTTTTGAGCCTGTGGTCTCTCTTGCTTTCCCGCCACTTACACAACCTTTTAGCCTTTCCTCATCAATCAGAAGCTCCAAGCCACTTTGTCGCAAAACAATAATTCGGCATGATGCTCCCATACATGCTGCAAGGAAATATTCATTACCTGTATGGGCTTCTATGTGCGAATCGACCATGAAAGTCTAAACTGAGCCCTCTAAGGAGCATAGAGCCCATAAGCCTCACAGCCTACATACGCTCAAGACCGCATACTCTATCAGATCTAAAATTCCCACTCTTTAAGGCCCATAGGGCCCATAAACCTCATAAAACCCGTACACTCCCCAAAACCACAATTCCTATAAAACCTTGTGAACACCAATATAACCACATATGAACCCTAAACCCTAAACCCTATCATACTGTAAGCTCCGCATGCTCAACCCCAGGAAATCGCAAACTTGCCGGCCACGCTTAACGTGACAGAGCCGCTGCCATCCTCATCAATCTCCTGGTAAGCAGCCTGCGTCAGGGTTTAGGGTTTAGGGTTCACAGTTCAGGGTTTAGAGGTTCAGGAGGGTTTATTATCCAAATTCTCATTGTTATCATGTACAGGGTCTGTAGGGTTGATTGGGTTTACAGCGTCAAGGTTTTTCGGGATTAGAACTTCGGCATTATGGTGGGTTTAGGGTGGCTAGGGTGTATGGGGTTTCGAAAGCTTCTAAAGCTTACTCCTGCTGCCTGCTACTTACACATGACTATATGGGGGTTTCCCCAAACCCCTAAACCATCTGTCCTAAACTCGACATCTGCCAGCCCATCTACAACCCTAGGGATCCCAATAGCCCAATGTAGGTAATATTTACAGACTTTAGGGCCCAATGTAGGTATTATTTGTATACTTGGATCCCTATGTAACCCCTTTATAACCCCAGATTCCATTTCATTTTCCATTTTCTTTTCCATTTTATTGGTGTTATTTGTATACTTGGATCCCTAAACCCTTAAACCATTGGGGTATCTCTACAGCCCCTAAACCCTAAACCCCTATTTGTATACTTGGATCCCTAGGGCAAGCAAAAAGAACGCCTGGAGGAGCTCCATTGGCAGTTCAGCATCCTCGTTCCCCTCGTTCTCCTGACAGCTTTAGAGTTTAGGGTTTGGGTTAGGGTTTGGGGTTTGGGGTTTGGGGTTTAGGGTTGAGGGTTTGGGTTTAGGGTTTAGGGTTTGGGTTTAGGGAACCCAGATATGCATTGTACAGTGTTTACTCAGAATAATCCACCCATTACTTGCTCAGTACAAACTCCAAGAGATCCAGATAGCCCAATGTAGGTATTAACTGCAAGCTTTAGGGCCCAATGAAGGAATTCTTTGTCTACTTGGATCCCCAAGCCCTAAACCCCAAAAGCAAGCCCTACCTAGCCCTTGGATGTTATTCGTATACTTCGATCCGTATGGAACTTCTTTTAAACGAGCTTTGGTCTAAACTCTTAGTATCCGGCTTAATAAGCCCTATAATAGTCCCCCATATGGACCCCTTTATTATATATGCCCCCTTTGAGGAGTTTAGACTGTCGCTCAAACGTCAATGTTTCGAAGCTTGAGGAAGCCATTGCTCCAAGCTATTGCACTTTTGGCCTTACAGGTCCTAAACCCTAAACCCTAAACCCTACCACCTGAAGTCCCTGAGGCTGACACGTTCCGCTAGCAAATTCTCGCACACGGACACCATACAACTGCAGCAGGTCCTGCGTCCAGAAGATTACCTTCTGAAGCATGACCTGAAAGGGCGATCTCACAGATTGTGGCTGGAGTTCATCCCAGTTTGAATTTGGGGTGTCTCCACTCTTCCAAGCCCAGCTCACTACCCCGGCACAAGCTCTTGTAGAAAGAGTCCCTGATAAGGACTATGACCTATGGAGTCATTAAGTCATTCGTAACTGCTTCTTGGCCACAGCTGAAGCCAAGAAATGCAAAGCGTTGTTTCCAAGTGCCTCCCCAGGATGGCCCTAACTGCGACTTCTAGCCTGACCCCTGCATGCACAGTACACAGCGAAGAAGTAGTAGCTTCCGACGCAACTCGCCAAACAAAAAAAAACAACTGAAGAGCAATAATCTTACTGGTGGTTAGTGGGGCATAAGGGCATATAATCCCAATAGAACCTCTACATAATATATTCCTTTATTCCCT